GTAAAAATGCCTTCTACCCTTAGTTCTTACCCTCTTAAGTTACCCAAAGGCATGTTTTTAATTTGTGGGGACCGAGCGTGGGCTGGCATCCCCTCTCGCCTTCTCGGAGGGCCATGTACTTTAGGCCGGTTGTCCTTGTTTGCCCCCAACACGACCCAAATTGAAAATTGGGAAAGAAAAAATAATTCGATTATTAGGAAGCGCAGTCTGGAGGATATTGACCCCGACTGTGACTTGGAAATTTTTCATTGGAATAGACCAAAACGGGTTGCAGTGTCGGTATTTTTGCCATGGTTAGCCGCTGCTCAAGCCCTGGGCGAATTAGGCCAATTAGAGTGTTGGGTAGTCAAACAAGCCAATTTGACGTCAACTGCGCTGAGCGACCTCCTCGAAGACGAGGAGATAACCAGGCGAGCCACCCTACAGAACCATGCAGCCATCGATTTCTTGTTGCTCCTGCATGACCACGACTGCAGGGAGTTTGAGGGACTCTGTTGCATGAACCTTACCACCAAGAGCCCCAGCGTCCGCCAGACTATCGCGGAGATGCGAGGCATGATCCACCAAATCAAGCAGGAATCCAACGACTGGGTCACCAACTTCTTTTCAGGATGGGGACTGTCCGGATGGCTTCTCTCCATTATTAAGACTGTGTTGTGGGTTGTTTTCGTTATTTTTATGATCTTAATCGCATTTGCAGTGCTGCGAAGATGCCTAGTCCAATCCATTCTTCACCTTCTATCTCCCCCATCGCAAGTTAACAATGTTAATTTAAACCCACTTCCCCTCCTCCTCACCTCCACCTTCTCCCGCTCCTGAATGGTTTGTTATACCCTCTGCTCCCCCTGACCCTGCAACATCCTCTTTCTAAAAAAGAAAGGGGGAGATGTTGCATTCTGTTTGTCAATTCTGTTTGATTTGATGATATGTTCCTGTTAGCCCCCTGTTACTGTCAGGTAATGGTCTTGCCCCAGTTGTCAATTTAGTAAAACCCCTCCCATTGTTCCTGAACCTTCCCTATCACCCTCAGCCTGCCCCTAGCCCTTGTCCGTCATTGTTAATCCTGCCCTTTGTTCCAGCATTTTCCATGCCCTTCATCCCCTACTCGAGGCCCCATTGGCGTTGTGGCCACTGTCCCACCCATGGTTACCTCCCATTGGTCCCAAGTATTGTAAACCCCTCCTTCGTCTCCTCCCAGGTTATGTTCTGATTGGTTTTTGGTTTGTACCCTCCCCTCTTTAAATTTGGAAGCACGGAGATGTTCAGTGCTCAGTTGCTCTCCTTTCTCACTATCCCAGCCCTTTCCCTGTCATTGCTCCCTTTATCCTTCAATAAAGCCTGTTCCTGGGAAGACAAAGAGACTCTGAGCCTCCTCCATCCCTTTACTGAAACCCACGATGCCTGGGATCTACAGAGCCCGAGCACAGGGAGCTCTGGAGGTTCAGCACGTGGACTGTCGTTCCTGTGTCATTCCCCACTCTTGGCGCTGCCATTAGCCAAGTTGTTCGGAGCTAGCCCGAAGCTTGGGAAAGCGTAGAGCGCAGCGTCAGGTATCCAACAGAAAACATACATTAAGCATCATATTGAGAACTACTTCTCCAACAACTTAAGTCAATTAGGTTGTGTCAGACTGGAGATGAAGCTGACAAATGGGAATTTAGAATTCATTTAGATGACTTCTTGTGTTTTCTAAGTCTTTTGAAATGCTGCACAAACTTAAAGCAGTGACTTTCCTAATAAACAAAGAATCAAGTTTCAGAGCTTCAAAGAAATATTTCACTGTAGGGTCTATTAAATCTGGTTCTGTATTTCAAGTAATTATTGTAGAGTATTTACAATTCTGACATCAGCTATTATCCTTGACAAGGAAAAAAATAACTGTGTTGCTATAAAATATAGAGAGAAACCTAATGCTGGCTGAGATTTTCAAAACAATTTTTGGTGAGGTTTAAAGGTTCCTGGCTTCTTAAAATCCAGCAGTTTCCAGGGACTTATATACTTCAGAAACCAATGATTAATTTAGGACCACAAGTCAGTGTTTAGAAGAATGATTTTTATGGTCCTAATTATTGAAGACAGAACTTGCTGTAATTCCTCAACTAGAGAATCCTTCCTTGAGCTGGAAACCACCAGCGGGGGCTTGAGAGGGCAGTGAAAAACCTGAACTCTTTAAAAGCTGAAAATTTAACTATAAAAGTTCATTTTTGAACTTGACAATCTTCAAACTTTTTGAACATTTGACAGCCACAAAAACATCTCAGCATCTAAAAAAGGTATTTTCTACCATTTTTGCTGTGTAATACTTGTACAGTTGCTGTAATTTATGAAGCTGGCAAATTAACTACGTGGTATTAGAATACTGCATTTATACATTAATCATGGGAAACACATCAAGAAATTGGCTCTTCCCCACACCTTGTATACAGGATTTACCTGTTTTCCTTTGTTTCTTCCAAACAACTTAAAGTTGGTAGCAGAACTCACTGTAATTTGGTGGTTGCCACCCCGGATTTCCAGACCATGACCATTCACAGCTGATCACAAAAAAAGCAAATAAATTATCAATTATAAACTGTATAGTAACTATCTCTTACTGTTACTGTGGCATGTTACAAGTTCAGGTAAAGTTTTTTAAGCCAGAGTATAAAACACTTTTACTGTACTTTTTACTCAAAAAGACAACAGAACTCTCTATTTTGGCCAACAGCACTAAACGAAGGTCAGTGGCTGATGATGATGAATTAAGAATGTTAAAAATTATGACTCAGGAGAAGAAAATCTTAACCAAATCTGAATTCATTGAATGGAATGACCAACTGAAGCTTTATTTGTTATATCCTTCATAGCCTTTGTGGTGGGTTGCCCAAGGCTGACTTCCAGGTGTCCACCCAGCTGTGTTCTTATTCCCTCTTCTTAACAGCAGGGAGGAAAATGAGATGAAAAGGCTCATGGTCAAAATGAAGAAAGGGAGAACATTTATTGGTTGCCACAATGAGCAAGACAGGCTCAGAGAAATAATTTATTACAAATTAAATTATGCTTGGACAGTCTTCCTGCCCAAGTCAGGGCCTTCGTTCTCAGCCTCAGCCTCATTCCTTCATCCCCTCCCCACAGAGTGGTGCAAGGGATGAGGAATGGGAGGTTGTGGCCAGCCCAAGACATTCCCTTTTTGGTGCTCGCTCCTCCTCACATGTTCCTTGCTCCAGCAGAGCTCCTCCACAAGCCACAGCTCCCATAAGGAGAAACTGCTCCCATGTGGGCTTTCCCTGGGCTGCATTTCCTTCACAACATCTCCCCCTGCTCTGGTGTGGGGGCTCTATGGTGTGAATCTGTTCCGCTCTGGTCCCTCTTCATGGGCAGCATACAAACACCTGTTCCACCATAGCTTCTTCCAAACCTTCCACAGGCTGCAGGAGGAAGATCTGCTTTGACACCTGGTGACCCTCCTTCCCCTCACCTCAGTCTCCAAAGGACTGTTTCTCGCTCTTTCTTCCCCTCACCTCAGTCTCCAAAGGGCTGTTTCTCGCTCTTTCTTCCCCTCACATCCTCCCTGCTGTGCAATGGTAAAGTGAACCTGTCTTCCTGGAGGGATGGAAAGAAGACACACATTCACTCCCTTAAAGGCAGCTTCCTCACAAAAGCCAAGCTATCTCTCTGCCTGAAATAATTATCTAGATGTTTAAACTGAAGTTCTGTGAATAACCCCAACTTCCACAAAAATGCATTTTAAAAAGATTTTAAAAAAACAATAAAGTTTTTGCAATAAACAGGAATATCATGCTCTCTTAATGCAGAATGTAAATGATCACACTGCTGAGAAAAGGGAAAATTAAGTCTTCTAAGTACCCAATGAACAGGAGTGGAACAAATTTTCTCTCTTCAAATATATCCTTATAGTAATCTGAAGAGAATACTCCCATGATTGTGTAGTGATTTCCTCAAAACCTATTCAATTCCTTATTGTTCAGCTTACAGTGCCAGAAAAAAGGGCCTGTTAAAGTTAACATCTGCTAACTAATCATGGAACAGACCATCCCAACATTCCACAGGGTTTAAACATTGCTATGAATTTTGATTACTATCAACTTTGGCTGGATTAAAGAAGCACTTTACTGTGAGACTTTTCAAATCTACAAAAACGTAT